ATATATAATAAAGCAAATACATTATGCATTTTGAAAATTTTGCACTTATCAAATCAGATCACTAAGCAAATTTGTGACATTTATCAAGTGAACTCTACAAAAGACATCTCAGCTCATGCTGAACAAAATGATTTTGCACAGTTCATGCAGATAGAGAGCTGTTGATTAATGCAACAGACAGACCATATATATATATATATAATAAAGCAAATACATTATGCATTTTGAAAATTTTGCACTTATCAAATCAGATCACTAAGCAAATTTGTGACATTTATCAAGTGAACTCTACAAAAGACATCTCAGCTCATGCTGAACAAAATGATTTTGCACAGTTCATGCAGATAGAGAGCTGTTGATTAATGCAACAGACAGACCAAATAAGATATTAAAATTAGTCTTAATTATTTTGTATGCATATTGTTATGTATAATTCGGAATTAAAAAATATATATGTTCCTTTTTTTAACTAGTGGTTCTCAGACACATATATAGAAAAACATATATTTTAGGTGCTGTACAAGTCATCTTTTTTCTTTTTGTACTGTTTTCACCGTTTGCAATTCCTTTAGTCATGCAGAATGACAAAATAATACATATAGGATTAAAACTCCATGTAGTATCTCAATTAAAATGAGGTCATACAAATGTAGGCCTGTATATAATTATTAGACATATTAGACATGCATAATAATTATACAAGAATGAAAACAATGTTGATAAGTTTAGCATGCATGACACACTGCAGACACTGCCTGATGTGTCATGTCAAGTAGCCTGCAGAAATGAAGTCTGATGCTGACTGCTGTAAATCTAGTTGTTTTATGTAGAGTCCAGTCTTGAGAACTGCACTAACCTGTCACATGAATGGACACAGATTGGTGCATCTCTGTTTGCCAGCAGTGAGGGTTCAGGATTGTTCATCGGTCTGGCTGGGACAGGAGCAGCGGGAGGGATCGCTGTAGCTGGATTTGAGTGGAATGTGAGTGACATAATTTTTAATACCTCTTTTCCAATTTCCTGCTTGCATTTATTTTGAACAAGTGCAAAATATTTATTAGTCACAATTCGTTATTGGGCATTATTTCAAACACTAATAAAACTTATAAAACATGTAAATGCACCTGCATTCGATCAGCACTAGGGGGAGAAAGAGGACCAGCTTCTGTCTTAAAACAGGAATTATGGGTGCTGAATATCCTATTCTTAGTTTTTGTCTAGACTGTTGGTCCTTTCTGTCAGTCCTTTGTCTAGTCTGTCATCTCTCAAATTCTTACAACAAGATAAATGAACCTGAGGAACAAAAGCGCTAGATATAAATAAGACCTCAAATTGTTTTTCAAAGTATGTACTGGCAGATTTTTAATTTTATTTTTTACTTATACTTGTCTAAATATGATAGATTTATATGTAAGTAAACTTAAAAAAAATAACTTTAAAAGTTAAATAATAACAAATAATTCAAGTTTACGATAATTCAAGTTGAAATGACTTCCAATTTGATTATACTTAAAAATTTAAGGCAGCAACTGAACTTTTTAAGTTAAAGTAGGTGGAAATTATTTACTCATATTTATATTCATGATACAGTAGAACAAAAAAGGATTTGCACACTTAAATTTGTCGGTAACTGCGATGCCAGTATTAGACAATAAATATCATACAAATGGCATTTATTTAAGACCCACATTGGTTTCAATGCAATTTGCCAAAAACTGACCCTAGGAAAAACATTTATGTAATAATTCCCATCTATTTTTATGTTCTCCATTATTGTATGTTCGAGACACCAAATTTAAAACAAAAAAAAATAAACGTTTTTTTTCATGATTAATTGTGGTGACTATTTGCACACTGAGGTGCAAACAAGTACAAGAAGTGTTTGGGAAAGTTACTTTTAAAAGTAATGCATTACAATATTGCATTAATCCCTAAAAAAGTAACTAATTACGTTACTTAGTTACTTTTAATGAAAAGTAATGCGTTATATTACTTTTGCGTTACTTTCGCGTTACTTTTTAAATATGAGCAGGGCTTGATTGTTTTTAATATAAGAAGTTCTATTTATAGCAAATATAAAAGCCCTTTCACACCAAAAAGTGTAATGAATAAACCTCAGGCTGAAGCAAAAGTAAATTCACGTCTGTACAGTAGAACGCAGGAGAAGAAACACTCTTCAGCAATAAAAAAACAATGAAGCACAATTGTCAGTTTATCTAAAGTCATTTTTGCTTATTAGTATGGTTGAACTGGATCATCAAAGGTCAGCAGCAAAGACATCAGTTAATAAAATGAGATTAGATACATTTGTGTTATTTAACATATTTAATTATTACATTTAATAAATGTTTTAATTCATTTTGATTAATACTAAATCTGTTTTTGTGAGTGGGATGAGTTAATGCACATTCACATTTAGTCTAGAACTACAGTAACATGTTCACACAGCGCACACAACTCCGCCTCTGTACTCCCGATTTCTCCCAATATGGGGACAGGAGACTTGTCAGTCAATAAATGGGAAAACAAAGTAACTGGCATTACTTTTTTGAAAAAGTAACTCAGATATTTTCTTATAAATTAAAAAAGTAATGCGTTATTTTACTAGTTACTAGAAAAAAGTAATCTGATTACGTAACTCGCGTTACTTGTAATGAGTTACCCCCAACACTGAGTACAAGTATAAAGAAAGATACAACAAATACACTTTACAAGCAAAACATTCAAATCTAATAATATATTATAGTCAGATGTGCCTTAATTTTCTTTTTGCGGCTTCTGTATTCAAAGCAAACATATTATCTCATGCAGATTTGCTTCTTAGGTGAATTGATCTTGTTTAAATGCGCTTCACTGAAAAACAAATAGATTCATATACTTTCTCTCATTACAATATTGCATTACTCCCTAAAAAAGTAACTAATTACGTTACTTAGTTACTTTTAATGAAAAGTAATGCGTTATATTACTTTTGCGTTACTTTCGCGTTACTTTTTAAATATGAGCAGGGCTTGATTGTTTTTAATATAAGAAGTTCTATTTATAGCAAATATAAAAGCCCTTTCACACCAAAAAGTGTAATGAATAAACCTCAGGCTGAAGCAAAAGTAAATTCACGTCTGTACAGTAGAACGCAGGAGAAGAAACACTCTTCAGCAATAAAAAAACAATGAAGCACAATTGTCAGTTTATCTAAAGTCATTTTTGCTTATTAGTATGGTTGAACTGGATCATCAAAGGTCAGCAGCAAAGACATCAGTTAATAAAATGAGATTAGATACATTTGTGTTATTTAACATATTTAATTATTACATTTAATAAATGTTTTAATTCATTTTGATTAATACTAAATCTGTTTTTGTGAGTGGGATGAGTTAATGCACATTCACATTTAGTCTAGAACTACAGTAACATGTTCACACAGCGCACACAACTCCCGATTTCTCCCAATATGGGGACAGGAGACTTGTCAGTCAATAAAAAGGAAAACAAAGTAACTGGCATTACTTTTTTGAAAAAGTAACTCGGATATTTTCTTGTAAATTAAAAAAGCAATGCATTACTTTACTAGTTACTTGACAAAAGTAATCTGATTACGTAACTCGCGTTACTTGTAATGAGTTACCCCCAACACTGAGTACAAGTATAAAGAAAGATACAACAAATACACTTTACAAGCAAAACATTCAAATCTAATAATATATTATAGTCAGATGTGCCTTAATTTTCTTTTTGCGGCTTCTGTATTCAAAGCAAACATATTATCTCATGCAGATTTGCTTCTTAGGTGAATTGATCTTGTTTAAATGCGCTTCACTGAAAAACAAATAGATTCATATACTTTCTCTCTCTCTTAGGCAACTTATGTCCTGTTGGCTCTTGCCTGGATCTTTGTCCCAGTTTATGTGTCTTCTGGGGTGAGTTTTAGACATGCACCAAACCACCGCTTATACTGACGTGCCAAGTGAGCTATTTAGTCTGTGAATTAATAATTGAGAACTTATGTTTAATGCCGCCACATGGACCATAGACTCACAGTCTGTTTATTTCCCACCACATGTGCTACTTTCCCAGATTTGCCTATTAATTTGCTTAGTTCGTGCCATTCCCTCTGCACTTCCTCCCTCTCTCTCGCTCGCTCTCTCTCCCAGATTATCACGATGCCAGAGTATTTGGGTCGGCGGTTTGGAGGAGAGCGAATTCGCATTTACTTGTCAGCTCTCAGTCTGATGCTGTCTGTGTTTACCAAGATCTCAGTGAGCACGAAAACACATACATTCATAATGTTTCATACAATGTTTTTTTGATTTCCATTTCATTCGCATATATTCCCACAAAGCTAAAAGTCAAACATGAATCTACGAAGACTTCTTTTATTGAGACCTGCATTGCTGTGCTGGCATGTTTCTGTACCTAAGGAATTTGAAGTTGTGAAAGAGAATGTAGTTTAGCTGTGTTTCAACATCTGTTTCTCACTGCAGACACACAAAAACACTTACACGCAAATGTAAGATATTTTAAAGAAATTAATACTTTAATTCAGCAAGAACATGTTATGTGATCAAAAGACATTTATAATGTTCTATTTTAAATAAATGCTGTTCTTGTGAACTTTCTATTAACCAAAGAATACACATTTTTTTTTATAATTTTGCTGCTTTTTAAACAGCATAACTGCTTTCAACAATGACAATAAGAAAAAATATTTATTGAGCAGCAAATCAGAAAATATTGCCTCCATGGGAATAAATGACATTTTAAAATATAATGAAATAAAAATGACATTAAATGTATAATAATATTTAATATTTAAATTGTAAAATTACAATTTAAAAAAAAAATTTCAGCCTGTATTTTTCAGCCTCAATGAACATAAGAGACTTATTATATATATATATATATATATATATATATATATATATATATATATATTTGTTATTATTGTCCTCATTTGTTAGTCGCTTTGAATAAAAGCGTCTGCTAAATGACTAAATGTAAATGTAAATGTAAATGTAAATATATATACAGTGTATATATATATAAGGTATTCAAACCCCTTCATTTATTTCACGTTTTGTTGTTGCAGCCTTATGTTAAACTGCTTTAAATTACTTTTTTCCACATCAATCTACACTCCATACATCACAATGGCAAAGCAAAACAGAACTGTCACAACTTTATAAATGTACTTTACAAATACATTGCATAAGTATTAACTCAGTACTTAGCTGAAACAGGTTTACAGCCTCAAGTATTTTGGGGTATGATGCGACAAGCTTTGATCATCATCATTTGGCAATTATCTGCCATTCATCTCCTCGCCTCTTCACCTCTCAAGCTCTGTCATGTTGGATGGGGGAAGACACACATTTTCAGGTTTCTCCAAAAATATTTGATTGGGTTCAAGTCCAGGCTGTGGCTGGGCCACTCAAGGACATTCACACAGTTGTCTATAAGCCACTCTTGCTGTGTGCTTAAGGTCATTGTCCTGTTGGAAGGTGAACCTTCTGTCCAGTCTGAGGTTCTGAATGCTCTGGACTAGGTTTTCATTAAGGCTAACTCAATATTTTGGTGCATTGAGCTTTTCTTCTACTCTGATGAGTCCCTCAGTCCCTGCCGCTGAAAAACAGCCCCACAGCATGAGGCTGCTACCAGCACACTTTACTTTTGGGATGGTACTCTGCAGGTAATGAGCAGTGCCTAGTTTCCTTAAAACATGATGCTTGGAATTGAGGCTCATCAGACCAGAGAATATTGTTTCTCACAGTCTGAATGTTCTTTAGGTGCTTTTTTCAAATTCCAAGTTTGTTTTCATGTGTGTTCACTGAGGAGAGGATTGAGTCTGGCCACACCGGCATAAAGCACAGATCGGTGGAGTGTTGTAGTGATGTTTGTCCTTCTGTACGTTTCTCCTATCTCTACATATGATCATGGAGCTCAACTAGAGTGACCACCAGGTCCTTGGTCACCAGTCTAAACAAAGTCCTTTGCTCAGTTTGGCCCGGAGGCCCGCTCTAGGAAGAGTCCTGTTTGTTCCAAACTTCTGCCATTATGGATAATGGAGGCTACATTCTTCTGTGAACCTTCAATGCAGCAGAATTTTTTTCTGAACTCTTCCCCAGATATGTGGTTTGATGCAATCCGGTCTCTGGGCTCTACAGGCAGTTTGCTTGTTTTTTACCTCAGGGCTTAGTCTTTGCTCTAATATGCATTTTCAGCTGTTAGACCTTTTATTAATACATGTGTGCCTTTCCAAATAATACCCATTCAACTGAATTTGCCATAGGTTAACTTCACTCAAAGTGTGGTAACATTTACAAGCAAAATCAATGCTCCTGATTTCTCAATTTCAACTGTCCCAGATGTGAATACTTATGCAATGGAATCATTCAAGTTTTTTTATCTTTAATAAATTTGCAAAGATGTTAAAAACCTGTTATTTGCTTTGTCATTATGGAGTGTAGATTGATGTGGAAAAAAAGTAATTTAAAGTAGTTTAACATAAGGCTGCAACATAAACTGTGAAAAAGAAGGGGTTTGAATACTTTCGTAAGACACTGTATATATATACTGTATATATATATATATATATATGTGTGTGTGTGTGTGTGTGCGTAGGAGTATATATAATTTCACACAAAAGAAAATAACTGAAAAAAAAAGACTATTTGACAGGTTTTGTACAAGGAAGAACCACTCACATATCTTCTAAAAATATAGAAAGTTAGATTTAACATTTTTCCATAGGGGCAAAAAGATGATAACAAATGAGGTCTTGTTGATATTTCAACTGTTTATCATAGACAGCAAGGAGATAAAATAGAGAGCAAGTTGAGACTTTTGCTTATGTCTCCTACTTCTCAGATTTTCTTAAACGAGACTCACGTCTTAGTTATCTCACGTCTTCTCTAGATTTGACAAAGTCAAGCAAAGTCTAGAATTAAGTCAGACCTCAGATGTTTCTTATCAAATTCTTCCAAGACCAACTGATCTAAATATTGCCAACATTCATTTTAAATATATACTCTTAGTTATTCTGTTCTCCAAGTCATTTTAGGAGAAATGCAAATTGGCAAAAAAAATATGCAGTTTGATAATCAAATGCAGAATAACTGAGAACACAGCAAACTGACCTCAAACTTCTGTATCGTTTACAGACAGATCTGTACTCTGGAGCTTTGTTTGTCCAGGTTTGTTTGGGCTGGAATCTCTACCTGTCCACTGTGCTCATGCTGGTCATCACTGCCCTCTACACTATTGCAGGTTTGTATGTGCACGTATGTATTTTGTATATATACTGTTCAAAAGTTTGGGGTCGGTAAGTTTTATTAATGTTTTTGATGTTTTTATGCTCACCAGTCCTGCATTATTTTAATCACAACAGACTAAACAGTCTTTTTGTGGAATATTATTACAATTTAAAATAACAGTTTTCTATTTTACTATATTTTAAAGTGTACTTTATTCCTCTGATGGCAAAGCTGAATTTTCAACATCATTACTCCAGTGTTCAGTGTCACATGATCCTCCTGCTCCTTCTCATTATTATCAATGTTGACAACAATTGTGCTGCTTAATATTTGTGTGAAAACAGAGACACTTTTTTTCAGGACTCTTGAAAAAGGATTGTTGAATAGTAAGTTCATAAGTATTTGTTTGAAACTGACAGTTGTGAATGTCTTTACTCTCATTTTTGATCAGTTGAATGCATCCTTGATAAATAGAAGTATTATTTTTTTAAATACGGTTTTATTAGTAGTATTTGCAGTAAACAAGCTCTTTTTACAACAAGCAGCAGTGTAGCGTGACAAAGCACAGCTTTTGGTGTCTCACCGTGTTGTGCACACAGATTTACAGCCGAGCAAGCAGATGCAATAATCAATCGTGGTCTTCCTTTTGCACTGTAATGCTGTAAAACTGGATGGGGTGGTGTAGTGGTTAAAGCTCAGGGTTTGAAACAGGAATGTTCCTCGTTGGAGTTGTGGATAGTGTAAATTATAAACTAGAAGAGTCCTCGAGCAAGCTACTTAACCACAGGTTTAAGTAGTACTAGTTGTTGACCAGTTGTTTGGATAAAAGCTGCTACTAAATGATTACTTATTTAAACTTTCTCACCGAAGCCCAATGGTTCAGTATCAGTTAATTTCTGCAGTGGTAATTATGGTCTACATGACTGATTCCAGCATAATTGCATGATTACTTTAATCCGCAGCACTGCTGTCACTGTATTCACTCCTCTGTCTGCAAGTGCTGATTCAGACTTGACCCCGTTGACTCATATCACATTAAACCATCATTAGAGAATTGAGCAATACCCGCTTAGTCCTCTGTTTCACCAGGTGGCTTGGCTGCTGTTATCTACACCGACACTCTTCAGACCTTCATCATGATCATTGGAGCAGTCATCCTCACCATTACAGGTCAGTCAATCTCAGGCCTCTTTTTTTATTCTCCTCTGGCAGTAATCTAATGTCAGCTGTCACTGAGGAAGTAAGTACATCTCAAAAGTGACACTGCTGGAAACAGATGGCAACTATAAGAGAATGTGCTTGGCAGACACATTTTCCAGGTTGTGTGGTTTACATACATTCATTCATTGCATTTCAAGAAATCCTAAATCTTACCTTGACTTACCTGTGGTGGTCTGCCAATATAGGCAAAACGATTATATAGATATTGTAAAACTGCCTATTGATGATAATAATAAAATTAAAAATGAGATAAGGAAATCTGGTTCAATTGCATATCTATTATCTAAACAGATAAATATTGTTCAAATAAATAAACGAATCAATAATGGACTGCAATAAAAAAAAATCTTCCAGATAACCTCAAACACAAAGTAAACACAAAAATTTAAACAAATTGTCTTGCATAAACGCATACAATTTAGAATAGTCACAAAATGTGAATATGCAATGCAAACGAGATTTAATCGAAACAAATGCATTCTATTCACATTAGGGTCTTTTTTGTCTTCTCAAGGAATTCATCATCTGGAATTTGTCTTCAGTAAAAGTGAAAACAGGCAAAAATAACAGCATATTTGGTGTAATGTGGAGCAGATTTCACTGTGGCTGTCACAGAAATAGAAACCAGGCAACAAAGAAAATATCCTGTAACACAACTTTTTCATGACCAGAAAAAATAAAGTCAAATAGAGGTTTTATCGCACCATGTCTGGTAAGGACACATTAAAACCGGCAAAGCTGGTTTGTATGGAGGTGTGGAAATGGGAAAATCCCATGAATGTCTTCAGCAGCTTCGAGAAAGTCATCACTAATGGTTTTTAAGAACCGTAAATTAAATTTAAAAAGTACACAGACACAAGCAAACAAAATATAAACTCAATGTGACAAACACACAAGTCTAAATAAGTTAAAGAAATTTAAATATTTTAATTGGAATCAATTCAAAATTTACATTCCGTTTTGATGCCATGTCATTTTGATGCTATTACAAAGAACAATTAAAGCTAAACTTCTACACATTACCCAAAAAGTAGTAGATTTAGCTGATATGTATTTATGTACGCATTACAGCATTCAATAAGATTGGAGGCTACAGTAACCTGGAGAGCGCGTATTTGAAAGCTGTGCCGTCTAAGATCATCCCAAACACGACATGTCACCTGCCCAGGCCTGATGCCATGCACCTGTTCAGAGACCCTGTGCATGGAGATCTACCCTGGCCAGGCATGACACTGGGATTGACCATTCTTGCAACATGGTACTGGTGCACCGATCAGGTATGCTTCAACACACTTACTCTCAAAAACGGATAACAAGGCTACCCTGTTTTCACAACACAATGTAAAAAAAGCTTTGCATAAAGAGCAGTGTTGCAAATGTATTTTGCATTATGAGTTGCATTCTGCTAGAAGACATTTAACATATCATTTGACACTGCAAAGACTGTTTTGGAGACAGAGGTAAAGAGCTTTTAGTTAAACGATCTACCAAGTCCGAATATCTTTACACAATTAGACCTAATTCAGGGTAGACCCTTGCAATTGAGGTTGTGAGGCTGTGAAGGATTTGCGTCAACTAAAGTCTATATTGAGTCCTGCGTCACTAAAACATCTCCAAATGATTCAAGTATATTCTCACAGAAACTGTGAAAATCATTGTGTGCAGACTAGCATAAAAGAGTGAAAAAATTATAGAAGACTGTATTTGCAATAACTAAAATTGTAACACTTTCCTTCTATAATGTACAGTACAAATCACATCTTAAAAAAAAAAAGTTTTTTTTTTTTTTTTATAAAGCATACATTTTCATATCTCATTAGCAGGCATTAAACAAAACAAAAAATTACCAAAGGAGTACATTATTAAATTCCTGGAAATACTGAGTTGGAGTCCCCTCAAGACCCAATAAATGTGGGATTGGTCTGGGTCTTATTACTTGGGTCTTCCGGTTGGGGGCTCAAAACTTGGTCTGGGTCTTGGCTAAGGGTCTCAGTCATGACCACAGTCAATTCAACACTGCACAAATTGGCTCAGTGCTGCAATAAATTCAGTGTTTTTCTGAGTAAGTTTCAGTTTGTTAAAATAGCCAGGTCTTGGTCTGAGTTTAGGTCCAGGTCTTAAGGGTCTTGGTCTAGATCTTGGGTCTGGTCTTGACTCCAACTCAAAGGCTAGTTCTGAAGGCCGGTTCACACCAACAATGATCGGCACAAAAGTCTGGTCTGACTTTCTCAAAAAACAAACAAACAAAAAAAAACTGCAGATAGGCTGAATCAAAATACAAATTCACTTTCAGTCAGTAGGTGGCGCTTATGGAAAAACTAAACTACCCAGCTTTTTCACGGTTTCCATTCAAAATATTCAGTTTGAGAGTACCACAAAGTACTAATTCAATATAACAGCAGCAGCTTTGGGCATGTGACTAAAAGCACTAATCTTATTAGTTGACCAGTCTTTTTTTTCTGCAATGTGCAGGAAAAGAGATTAGAACGCCTCTCCATAAACAAAGAATCTGTTGCACTGACAGCATGTCAATGTTTGTAGCAGTCTGAAGCGATTCAAATAAAAATGTTCAACCACAACAAACATTCATCTTGGTGTGAACAGGCCTCGAGACGGTCTGATCTCCTCATATAAAACCATGGACAAATGCAGACTTTAAAATTAACTCTGTCAGTTTGTACTGTACCTTAACCTTTTCAGCATTCTTTTCCCACAAGCTGAGACAATAATTAGTCAACAACCGGGGTGAATGTGAAATCGCCATCACCATGGTCACAAATCCACCACCAAATTTTTGCACTAGTCCAGATTACACAATAAAGGCACGTCAATAAAGAGTAAGGCTGCTTGTAACAAGTTTTGCTTGCCACGGTCCAGTTTAAAGATCCAGTTGAAAAGTCTTTATCAGTGGAGACTGATGGCTACATCATTGCACATTAATGCCTTTGTACTCAATACAAAGTTGTTGTTTATTTTCTGAAAGAAAGCCACCATAATTCAGTTAATTTTCATTGTGCCTCTGTGTCAACAATTTATCCCCTAAAGCAAAACCAGACGTGTTCACTGGAACCTTCCCCCTGAGGTGTTTGTAGCTGGCGAGTTTAGATAAAGATAATCCTAATGGCATACGAGTCTCAACCCGTCTACGAGGAGACGGAGACTTTGTTTGAGAAGCCCGATGAGCAGGAGAGAGTGATTGAGAGTGCGTGAGCCGCTGAGCGTGTGTTTTGCCGGTTCGCAGTCCTTCTATCGTATAGGTGAGGCTTTGTCTTCTAGGGGAACGGCCAGAGCGGTTTAGATTTTGCTGGCCTGATCCATTTGAGGGGAGGTCAGCATGCGCCTCCCCCTGCCAGTACCTGTGGCCCCCGATCACATGGCCGCTGCTTTTAGGAGGTCTATGGAAAACTCCAGGTTTAGCAATCACCACTTTGGCCCGGCCATAAGTGTCTCGAACAGTTGACCTGGAAACCATCTTGTAAAGCTGAAAGGGAGGAATATGTATGTGAGAAAGAAAAAGGATAAAACACCTTCAGGCATGATTTCAAATGTTTCAACAAACTAAAAAGTGTTCTAATGAATTTTTCAATATGAACTCAGAAAACAAAAAGTAATGTTGGTTGATCTGTATCTTGGCAGGTAATCGTGCAGAGGTCTCTGTCAGCCAAGAATCTGAGTCACGCCAAAGGGGCGTCAATCTTTGCCAGCTATCTCAAGATGCTTCCCATGATCTTCATCATCCTACCTGGCATGATCAGCAGGGCACTCTACCCAGGTACTACACACACGCTCCAGCTGCTGTATCCGCTAGTGCTGCAAAAATTCATTGCCATGTAATCTTTTGTGCAAGCTTTGTCACATTTTAAAAGCCTGTACCTATAGAAAATGGGGTCATACCAGCTTAAAGTGGTCAAGCTGGTTTTTGGTAAATGGTAGCTGGTTAGTTGCTGGTCCAAAGTGGATTACCAGACCTAATCAAGCTTGACTAAGTTGGACTACACTATTCTACATCAGCAAATACACAAAAAACAGATACAACCTTAAGCAGGGTAGTTTTATACCCAAATAAATATTAATACTACACATCATACTTAACTGAAGCATTTTATTCAAACATTAGATATGATAGAAATAGTATGAAACAAGACTAAACGATGGCATTATAAGTAAAGATTTGTAAGAACAGTCCCACTTTATTAAGTGGCCTTATGTACTTACATTTAAATGAATCATTTGATACAATGCACTTATTTTGTACATACATGCTTTTACATTGTACTTATATTTTAAAAATACCTGCATGTAATTACATCTGTAATTATTTTTATAATTGCACTGTTGACCCATCCCTTACACCCATCTTTAACCCTACCCATACCACCAAACCGGTCCCTAACCTTAAGTGATTTGCTATACAATATGACCACAATAAGTTGATGTAAGTATTTAGTAGTTAAGGCCACCTAATATAAAGTGGGACTGTAAGAACTATGCAATAAAAGTAGGGATGTTAAATATCCAGTATTAAAATTCTGTCCAACTCTGTTTCACTGATAAACAATAATTAACTGATATTAAACAATTTTAGGCAAGTTAGTTCTTAAAGTGTTAAAATGAACTTGCCTAAATTTGTAACATCTTGTAACATTTTGTGATTTGAGCAGAATCTAAATAATTTTGTAACAGGGAAAAAGAGCAAGCACAATTAAATATCCAATAATGGCCAATACATACAATATCCATTACATTTTAAAAAGTATGTAGATACAGTATATTGACTTATAGCTGATATATAAATTATTCCTAAACAAAAGTTTCCTGACACCTCAAATATTTTAGTCCGAGCCACATGTATTACTTTTTCCATTGGGAAATTCCACCAAAATGAGGATCTGACAAACCCTAATAACATGCTATTTTTCAACTCTCATCTGATACGCAGCTTCATTTACATTTTCCCCTTCTCCCACCCACTACCCCCATACATGTGTTTTAGCACTTATACAGGTTCAGGCGTGCTGGAAATGTCAACAGAATCCGGGAACACACACCGGCACGCCCTTGTGCGTTCCATAACACACACGCCTGGCTTCTTTTCATCTACTTGAGACACTCCCAGGTTTATAGACTGGTAGAGTGAAGAGCCAAATCTGAAAAAAAGCACTTTCACATTCAGTCACACTAAATCAAAGTCCAACCTACCTTTGTTTTATCTCTGTTCTGCATGTTCAGTAGATTTTTCTCAGCAGTGTTTTGTTCGACATCATCCGATCGCAAGTCCAGCATGGATTGAGAGAAACGTGCCATCACGTTAAGCGCATCAGGGCTGTGGTCTCCAACACGACCGGAACCCGTTAACCTTCCGTTAGGGAGTTTGTCACTACTGTCAGAGTCAGTATATTCATAGTATTCATCGGATGTTGTGGAATTCTCATCTTTATCCTTTAATGAATGTGCACAGGTGACAGCGGTGCTGTCGGCATCATTGTCGTGAGTGTCCATGTTTGCATCCTTTGTCTGGTTTTCATCCCTTCTGACCAAAGTGACCTCTGCGTCTCCAGAGCCCTCCGGTCTATTAACCACCAACTGAAGGGTGCGTGGCTTGGGCACAGGCATTTCTAAAGTCTGTTTGACTTCTGTTGATTCAGGGTTGGACTGCTGCTCTTGTGGAGGAGGGTTGGGTTTGGGTTCTTCTTTCTGGATCGGAGAGCTTGGCGAATCGGATGTATTGGCTGGTGTATCTTGATTAGCATTGCTAGAATCAGTCTCCGGCTGAGTTTGGGTGCTTAATTGAGCATTTGCATCTACAGTATCTGTTTTAGACAATTGTGTTGTTTTAGGACGAGGACTTGCCTTATCTGGTAGCGGTTCCTCAGGTGGGGCGGTGAAAGGGTCTTTAAAACGTATTGCTTTAGATGTTTCGAACATTTGTGAGCGCATTAAATGCACCGGCGCTGGCCTGCTTGTATCACGGATATTAATAAACCCAATAACATCACTGGGTGGGTCTGGCTCAGGCCAGGTGGGCAAGTAGGGAATGAGATCTGCCTTTAGCAGACCTACAAGTCCTGGGTGCATTTGCGGTGCTTCTATCAATGCCCGTTGAGGCTTGGGAATCAGGACCATAGGATTTTTGGAGTTACTGTTCTTGGCACTAGCCTTGTCTGAAGAGGCTTTGCTTGCTGAATCTATATTAAGTAGTGCATATTTGGGGTTAATTAGTTTTCTTGCAACAGTTACAGGAACAGGGGGAGGAACAGCGATTGGGGCAGGGTCAGGCTCTGGAGGGTCTGCCAATGGGATCTTGGTTAGATTGACTCCACGGGAGTTCAGGTATAGTTCGCGGAACTGCTTGTCAAAAGTTTCAACAGCCTGTCCTGTCAGCACTGTAATGACGTTGCGGTCCAAACGAGAAGCTGTCCATGTAAAACTGAAACATAAAGATGCCGCAAGTCAGAAAAGAGAATAAACAAATAACATGCACAGCACAATCACATAAAATGCCATTTAAACTAGCAAATCAAAATATCTTAAGAGTGTGTTACCACCACTGTTGAGGTGATGGCATGTTTTTCAGTTGTGTGACAATAGCTCACTCACCAGCTTTTTTGTTCTCGTTTTGTCTGTTCACACTTCCCTTTTCTTTTGGTATTCTGGCATTTCATGCCATATGATTGGTTTATTAGGTCTGTCTTGTGATTTGATTATTGTCTGACTAGTCTTTTTTTTATTCAGCTTCTAGTTTGATTGTTTTGATACCATGTTACGTCCTGGTAAATTATTATCTTTTAATTTGCCATTGTGTATTGAATGTTTTCCCATGTTCTCTATTAGATGTTTGGGTGAGATTAGTGATGTTTCTAGTTTAGTTAAGACTTTTTCCTGCTTTGAGTTTATGGTTCTTGAAAGATTCTCTTACCTATGGAAGTTCTAAGCGGCCATGCATTATTTTTTTTCCTTCTTGTTTTCTCGTTATATCGACATAAAAAAAGTTGTTCTCTAAGTTACAAAACTGCGCCAACAGGTGACATTATTGACCTGAATATAACTGATGGGGTGTTGTAGGCTATGTGTTACTATAACAACAGTAGATTAAACAATCATTGTAAAAAATAAAAAATAAACTGTCGTTATAATGAGAAAACAACTCGTTATGTCGATATCACAAAAAAATTAAGTCGTTAAAACGAGAAAAAAAATAATAATATTGCATGGCCGCTTAGAACTTCCGTACTTACCCATACCGAATTGAACTTGCAATTTACAAGGCAGACAGTTTTTACTAACATTTATGAAACACTGTTTCATGTATATGTACAAACACACATTTAAGCGCACAAAACAAACCTGTATGATCCGGACACAGCACGGTCTCCATCCACAAACATGAATTTCTGACTCAACGAGCCATGCACCTTCTGAGCTGAGCATGTAAAGAATGCGGCACCACCAATGCATCGCACCCGAAGATGCTACAAACACAAATTGTTATTCATACACTAACACACACAATCTACATATTTTCTCATTTTAAGAAAAGTCTACAAAACAGACATTAAAGCATGTGTCTTCTACTCACATTGAGGTGTCCTCTGTGCATGTTGGCTCTCTCACACATATGTAGGAAGTGCTGTATAGCTGCAATATCTATAATAATGTATATAGCTACTTTCTTTTTAAATCCAGCCTCTATTAGATCCTTGAAAATGTCAACGTCTGTGAAAACATCCATTACCACAGCAATCATCTGCAAAAACACAAATGGTTTTGTATTATTTATCGGTGTACAAATGATTATACACACAAAGGTCATATTCCAAGGAGTAAGTTCTCTTTATTAAGAAGACAACATGATGACATAAAACATCTCCTACACACCCTTAATCTATTGTACTACACCCATTAAGACCCATATCTCGTTATAAGCTCTCATTGTGTGAAAAGTCTTTAGATAAAGGAATCTCTTTGATTAAGAGTGTGTGTGTATCTTAAAGTGAGAGGGGGAGGAAGGGAATTTCTGCCGGTATGTGTCACGGGCCGAACTGCTGGGTTTAAGCAAGTTCTAACAAGACAAAGGAGTCAGTTGGAAACCAGTAAGATTGTGAAACGTGATGGATATTTGGACATTTAACATGTTTAATTTATTTTCTGCTGAACTCAATTCATTCCTAACAATTCCAGGTTATCGTTTTAAAAATTAATCAGCTTATAGGAGAAGAGTTGTATTGAATAGTGAGTGTTGACATTGATTATTACCATCCAAAAAATTAAAATTATAACTTTATAATGTAAGATGATGTAAAATGTAAGATGAGTATTTAGCATATTAAAGACAAATATTAAAGAGCCAAACAATGATTATTATTTAGCAACTTAAAATAGTTTAAAGGGGTCATATGATGCGATTTCAATTTTTCAGTGTTACAAGCTCTTGGTGCATAAAGAAGCTCTGTAAAGTTGCAAAGACTAAAGTCTCAAATCCAAAGAGATATTCTTTATAAACGTCAGCCACTTTATAAGAGTTAGCCACGCCTACCTAAAACGGCTCGTTCTAACACGCCCCCACATATCTACCTCACTATGTGGGAAGATCTGCATAATGCCACCCAAACGTTCACGCAAAGAAAGAAGGCGTAACTTTTATTCTCGCTGTAGTATTGTTGTTGCCGCTGTCGTGAAGGTGTGTGTA